ATGAGGAACAAGTTGAGTTTCTGTAGTTATTTTCCATGGTAAGTGAGAGTCCAGTAGTCATTCTTTTCATACTTCCATTCACTCATTCATCCTTCATTTGTTCATTTGCACATTTGCTGTTCAATCATTTAACAAATATTTATTGAATGCTATGTGGCAGACAGTATTCTGCATGCTTGGGATATAGCAAGAAAGTAACACCTTTTCTTGTTGGAGAGAGTACTGCATACATACTTCAGACATTATTTTATATATATTAGTGCATGAAGGTAATATGTAAATAAACCATAAATAGTCTATAGTGGTAAATATGATGCAGAGATGAAAGAGAGAAGAGGATGTGAGTTTAGTTTAGGTAGTCATGTGAGATTTCTCTGGTGACATGAGATGTGATATTAATTACAAAGGTAAGAACTCCCCGTGCCAGGCAGATGCAGAAATACCTGTTTCTGCACCAATCCACACTCAGTGAGTGATTCCACTGAGTTAGTACAATGGATTTCCACACCACCTTTGTTTAAGTAAAACATTGTTATTTATAAGCTGAGATCAGTAACCTTCATTGCCTTCGTATGAATTCAGATTAGTTGTCTAGTCATCTGGTAGCATGAGAGGGGCAGGAAAGGCCAGTAGAGAAGGCTACCTGGAGGGAGAGAGTGGGGGTGAGCCATTGCTAACAGCAGGATGGCAGGCCTGGGAGCCCAAATGCAGCTTGGGTTGCCTGGGGAAACCTATTTTCCTGTGTTATTTACTGTGTGGCTGTCCTCCCTAACTTCTCTATGTTTCAACAGCAGTTTGAAAAGACCTTCTGCTCTCCCCCAAAGCAAGCTTTTCTACCTTGCACAGAGTGGGTTGAAAATGAGTTAATACTAAAAGGTGGCAGCTTCAGAATCATGGAGGAAGAAGGCCATCAAGTGGGGATAAAATATGAGAACATGATAGTGTCACAGGCATGGGTTTTGTCTGTGTCCTCAGTGGTTGACCTTCCAGGGGACATTGTACTAGGATGTCACCCTTTAAGACAGTGATAGATGAAGGCAATCATGTCACCACAAAGAAATTCAGACAGAAATATTACCAAGAACTATAAAATTAGACTTATAGATGCAACCTTTAGTGTGAATGTTAGCAGCCCAGACAGCATCTGCTCAATGAAAAGGCTGCAGCAGTGGCCCAGAAGAAAGCTACTGGTAGGCTGAAATCAGTGTCCAGTGGCTTCACAGCCACAGGAAAAGGGGAATTACACATGAAACAGAAATATAGCGAGCTAGAGAGGAAAGAGTCCAGGAGGGCACCACCAGGTGACAGAGAGAGCAAGGTCACAAGGATTTGCAGCAAAGACAGAAAATTCCTCACAACAGAACAAATTCTCTAGCATTTTGTCGACATCCTTAAAGAGAGAAATACTTTGTTCCAGGGCTCACAAGATTAGAACTCTCCCTGGCTGCCAATCAGTGACTCCCATGAAAGAATTGAAGTTCATTATCAAACTTATTTAAGGGCAGCATGTTGTGTAAGTAGGAATTTTGGGTTTAACTGGTTACTAAACTCTTTCACTTGCATACTGAGTGGAGGGCCAACTGACTGACCACTTGTTTCTAGAACATAGAAATGTGAGGAGACATTTCCTGGAGCAGAAATATCTGAATGCAGACTGTATGCTCTGTGGACTGCTACTCGGGCAAGGTCGAACAAACAAATGATCTGGGGCTCCCACTCTCACTGACTTGTGGGGGGAAAAGCAGATGCTATATCAAGAGGATTGGTGTGTATACATATTACCCACATACTATGAGGATTTGTGCGCATATGTATGCTGAGAGATGGGAGTAATTAAGGATAATGGGCCTACAATTAATCTCTTCTTGGGAATTATAATTTTCTTCTAAAATGTATTTTTAGAAATGTTGCCACTTACATTATGTTTGTGGTTTTTCATATTAAAGTTGATGGACCATAAGGACAAATGAAATGAAGGCTCGACATGCTGTATTTCTTTACTTCTTTGCAGGTTTCTTCCTGCAAAGGATGCTGCACTCTCCAGCTGTCCTGGCCACTCCTCCTTTGTCTCCTAGCTGTATCTCCCTCAGTGTCCCTAACTTGCAGTGTCTAACTAAGGATCTGTTCTCATGTGTTTCTACACTCATTCTCATTATCATCTATATGTTACCTGTTGCATAGTTTTAAATGTCATCTATAATCTGTTAAATTACAAATTTACTTCTGCAGCCCAAACTTCTTGCCTCATAAGTAAATTACAAATTTACTTCTGCAGTCCAATATCAATTCATTGATCCATCTGCTCACTACTCCCTTTGAAATCTACTATCTTCAAATCCTCACCCAGTTTTCTCTGTTCCAATTATGGCAACTTCATCCCTCCAGTTCTTCAGGCCAAAATCCTGGGAGTCATCCTTAACTCTTATCTTTCTCTCAACATCACATCAAATCAAATTTGCCAACAAATCTTGTTGGATTTGCCTACAAGATGTATCTAGAATCAGACTACTTACTGCCTCCACTATTACCAGGTTCATTATCTCTCACCGGTACCGCATTAACCATCTTACCTTTCTCCTTCTTCTGCCCTTGACCCTAGTAGTTTCTTTCCAGCTCAATAGCTAGTGTAAACCTGTCAAAACACAAGTCAGATGCAGCAACTTCTCTAAAGCCCTCCCATTTCACTCAGAGTGCAAAGCACAGTCCCCAAATTGACCACATCCTCTACACCCTCCCATCTGCCCACTGCTCTCTCTCCTCCAGCCACACTTGACTCCACAGTCCTTAACGTGCCCTGTATGCACCTGCCCTGTGGCTTAGACTTGTATTTCCTAGGCTGCTCTTCCTCAGATGTGCATGTGGGGTTTTCAGGAGTGGCACCTTCGTGCACCCTTCCCTGACCACACTATTTAAAATGAGGGTTATCCGCCTTACCACAGTCATTCCCCTTCCTGTTCCCTGCCTTCTTTTTCTCCATAGCACTCCTCAGCACCTCACACACCACTGTATTACTCCTTCCTCTTTATTGCCGTCATTAGTCTTCTTCACTAGACTCTGTAAAGACAGAGATTTTTGTCTGTGTTGTCTGTTGCTGTAGTCCCAGTGTCTGTGCACCCAGGCTGGGAGCTGATGAACAGGAGTGGGTCCTTCTTTCTTTAGGAAGATAATTATTGAGATAAATCTTATCAGCCAAAGATCTTATTAAAAGACCATGCTTTCTAGTACTATGCCATGTACCCAATAGGCATGCTATAAAACACATTTGAATGGATGACTTAGTTTCCGAAGGAAAAAAAGATAATTGCTTTTGTGAAAAGCAAAACTGTGACTTCTGGTGGTGGGGGGTGTTGGGGAGGAGCTCCAATATTTTCTTGACTGCTTCTTACCCCAAACATTATTTTAGATGATGCCTTAGATATGATACTTTTATAGCCAATGTAATAAAGAATATCACTTTGCAGCTTTACCTTTTTCTATCAGTAAAATTTATGATTCTTTATCCAGAGGATGACAATAGAAATAATTTAAAGTCACATAGAATAATTATACTGATTAGTGCTCATGCAAGTTATGTTTTACTTCAACAGATTTTGTGGGTGCTGATCAAAATTTGGTGGTTCTGTTGGAATAATTTCACCAAAAGTAAAATATATAACACCATTACTTGGTTTTTAAATACCATCTCCACCACAAGGCACCAAAGTTTCTTGTAGAAATGGTTGATTCCAGACCTGAGGCAAGGAACATACAAGTTGTGTCTGAATGCTAGAAAATTCTTAAGAGCCTTTGGGATTGTACTGAAAGGGCAAAAAAGTGCCCTAGAAAGGCTCTCCCTTACAAAATTTGGGATAATTTGAGTAACCAAAAAAAATGATACATAACTTATGAACGGATTGATTTGAACAAAATCCTTACACAACAAAATGGGAAAGAAAAAAAAAAGACAGAGAGAGGGAGATAGGAGGAGGAGGAAGAAATGTTCTTTTTAAAGAAGAATGCCAGCTAATAAATGTAGGAGGAATAATAGAATTAGAAAATCATTTTGCAGCCTCTGCTAAAATCATTGGGTAAAAATCAGTTGACTTACAGAATATTCAGGCAGTGACAAATTATACCCCAGAGATTGCTTGCAACCTACAAAGAGAAAACTTTTACTTTTTAAGGGTTAGAGCTAGCAGTTGCCACTTGAACCAAGTGATCCAACCCAAAATTCTAAAACTGGGATATCCTCACATTCCAGCTCCCTGATGTGGCACAATGGGAAGTTCACAATGTTAATATGGAGTGTTTTGTCATCCAGCTGAATCTTATCAAGCCACTAGATTTTACTCCACTTTACAGGAAAGGTGCAATAGAGATGAACAAGCAGAATATCAGGCTGAAACACAGACAAATCTAGAATGTGGGATACTGTACAAGATAACTTGACTTATCAAACAAGCCACTCTTATGAGAAAAAAAAAGAAAAGCAGGAGGACTATTCTAAATATGAAAGTACAGAGATAAGATAACCAAGTAAGACAGCACATGATGTTGATTCTCTATTGGAAAAGAAAAAATTCTTTAAAAAGATATCCTTAGGGAAATTTAAAATATGGAAGGGATGTTAAGTGAACATATGAAACTATTTTTAATGTTTTAAAGCATTTTTTCAATTTGATTCTAATTTTGTGGTCATTAGAAAAATATCTTATTCTGAGGAGATGATGTTAGGGTCATTAAAAGTTAAGTCTCGATAAATTTAATTGTAATGGAAAATACTGCTACAACCAGGATGAAGGAAATGAACGTTCTGTCAAGTCCTGGCTATACAGCCCAGTAGCTGGTGACATTGGGCAGCTTACTTTTGATTCCTGAGACTCAGTGTCCTCATTTACATATGGAGATAATGTCCTGCCCACTCTTAACACATGAGATCATGCATATTTTATAAACAATTATCTGGTGTGTGGTCAGCCCAAAGTAAGATATAACTGGACTTCTTTTTTTTTCTCCCACAGAGTGAAAATAATTTCATGAAACAGGAGAATTGGACCTGAGGCTTTGATGAACAGCTTACCTTTTAGACCACAAAGTCTACACATAGCCGCAAACGCTGTAGATTCCATTTCGATATTCCTGACACCAGCTTTGTAGGCTCTCTTCAAGTAATCTAACTTTTTTTCTCTGGAAAAGGAGCACAGTGCTCCATCTAGTCGACCTTGGCCTGAAAGAAAATGGGGAACATTTAGCAAATTGATGTCTTACCACAGCGCCCCTGGCATCACGGAGTCCTCTTTGTCATCACAAGCTGGAGGGTCACTGAGAGTTCTGCCCTTTGAGAGAAATCTCAGGTTGCCCCCATGCCCAGGGGATGGCCAGGGGACAGGCGCTGGGGGAGAAGAGGAGGCTTCAAGCCTCGGTACATGCTCCCAGTTACCTGAGGACCAGGACAGTGCTTTGAACCCCTTAGCTCTCTCTGTGCCCCTCGGGAGGGTGTAAACATACACACAATGATTTGTCCATGTTCTCCCCTGTTTCAGGCCTCTCAGGCTGCATTCCATCCCTTTGGGATTGCTCTTTCTAAATTGTTCTCTAATACCTTTTCTCACTTAATTTCACCTGTATCAAACCAGTGGGGCCAGAGGAAGAGAAGAGCCAGATGCTGTCTACCCCTCCACCCTACGCGCATCAGGAACAGACTTCACACTCCACTCCCAGCAAGGCCTAGGGTAGCAGAAGGGCCAGTAGCTCTTCATTTCTCCATTATTTACACAATTGGTTTTTTTGGCTCCTTTCCTCTCTTTTTTCTCCCATCCCACTATCTAGCTTGCTGCTGCCACAGTGACTGCCCGCTTCTCTGTGTTTCCTTCCCAGGGTTGACTGCCAATGCCTCTAACAAACACGGTGTTACTTAAGCTGATTCAAAATAAGATGCCCCAGAAGTCAAGCAGATAAAGTCAAGGAGATCTGCCTGGTCTGAAGGACCTCCTCTTCCTTCAGGGACACAGCCCTGGCTGGGGGCTGGGACTTGCCAGGGCTGCCATGCATGTATTTCATATTTTTTTCTCTTATGCTATTTCAAAAGGTCAAAAATATGAATTTTCACATGAAATTCCCCAGAAATTATAAATGTTGGCAAGATAACTCATATTTGAAAAAATGTTGCGCACTTGAAGAAAACATTGACTCCAACAGGTTTCCACTTGCAAACTCTGGCTTCAACCTGTCAGCGACCCTTCCCATAAAGGGGCCAGTGACCTGTCAGAGAGGGTGTCAAGCCCATCAAAGCCAACATTTTTGTGTTTTATCACACATGTGTGGTGACACCACTTTTACTGACCAGAAGCAAAATGTATAGATAATATACTCTATCTTCATATATAATTTTTAATATTCTACATCATGACCTGTTTAAAGGGCAAAGAAAATGAAAATAATTTCAAGTGGAATAATATGCATTTTGATGAACATACCCTACACAATGAGAACATGCTAGAACATACACTGTAAGACTTCTGGAAAGCCCTCATGGTGCCCGATTAGATTCTTTCTTCTGGAATGTCCTTGAGGGTTTACTCTCCCAACCCCTTGCCCCTTGTGGTAAGAGCTGCTACTTGTCAGTCACTTCCAGTTTGTCCCTAAACTTGAATTGGAGACCTTTTCCTCATGACTGACACATGAAAGAACCACTCGGAGACTTGCCCATCCCTTTAGGATTTTCCTCCCCCAAATATCACTCCCCATTTCCTGTTTCCACTCTGTCCTGCATACCAGATCCCATTTGAGATATAAGTAAATATATCTAAAAAGGGCAGAAAAATAGAATCAGTATATTCCCTTTCTCCCAGAGATAAGATTTTGCTAATATTACTAATTGCATTTGTGTATTCAATTTCTTCTTGGAGGATTAAACTTAGTGTCAATATAAATTCATTATGGGTGCTTTTCCATTGCTGCTTATAACCTTATGTTCCTATGTTTTAGTAAGTTAAAAAAAGACTGTTAGAGCTCTTTTTAAAAACCCTTTATTAATTTTCTAAAGTAGAGTTTTTAATGTAAATTTTGGGTTTGAATAACCAAGTTGTTGGCAAGTTTCCTTTGCTTTCACAGATTGTAAATTATTCTCACCTTCATAAAAGTCATAGGTACACATCGTATGTCCAAGGAGGGTTGGGAAGTGGGGAGTTTCTTTGCTGCAGTGGAATAGTTCCTCAGCTAGGTCCTTGTCAAGTTCAGTACTTCGGGTGACGATGTTGTCCAAGATTACCTGTTCAAACCGTGGCTTAAAGAAGGAATCTACAGCTGTGTCTGTTATTACAACTGACCCTGGTGCAATTCCTATAATGTGGGAATAAATAAGTGATTATAGAAAAGTGTCATTTAAGATTTGATTTTGATGCTTTGTATGTAATCCATGCTGCCAATATTAATTAATGGCAGTCGCTAATGATTCTAGTTTCATCTTTTATTTTCTTTCCAAATACAATTAAATAATAACATTCAGAACAGGCATTTATATTTGCTGTCTTTCCAGATTCCCATTTACAATGTGATAGGGTTTAGATTTCAAGACAAACATGACTCTTGGACATGCAAATTAGTCCTGGCCCTCGGGCTCAAATTTGAATAAATTAGGTCTGAAATAAACTAAGTGATCTGCCAGCAAATAACTTTCATAAAGTGATGTGACTACTTGATATTTAATCTTCTCTGCACCTCCTTGATTACTATAATTTCTTTGCATCTCTATTCTCTCCTTTTGATTCTCATATCCATTACCTCCTCCCTCTTGGATCCCATGTAAATCAAGCCTCTTTGCTGACATTTCGTTGCTACAAGTTCTGGGCTACTTATGGGACTCAGGAACTCAAGGAACTCTCAAGTCTCAGGGACTTGAGAGACCATTTTTCTACCAATTATTATCCTTCCTGCCTGGAGTGTGCTCTCATCTTCTCCCACACCCTTTCTTTCATCAGACTTATTTCAATTCATTCTTAAGGTGTCTGCTTAAGACATTTCCTTCAAAAGGAGTAGATCCATTGTGGGGGGAGGGAGGTTGGAATAAAAAAAAAAAAAGCCAGAAAGATTACATTAAATTTCCCCAAGTCCAGCTTTTGACCGACTTTTTGAACCATTCTGATTTTTCTTCAGAGCTTGGATAAAGGAACATACATCAATAATGCCCTAGACTCTCCCTATCTTAACCTTCATCACACTTTTGGTAAGTACTCACTAACTTCTCTATTTCCCTGATAAAACTTGAGCTCTACAAAGACAAGAACAATGTCTGTTCACAGCTGTCTTTCCAGATCTAGCATTTTGCCTATTACATTAGAAGTATTCAAACATTTGTTGAATGAGGGAATATTTCCATAGAGATGCCATGGCGCAGCTATCTGCAAAGTATAATCACTGGGCCAAATTGTTCTTTTCTTTATAAATAATGTTTTATTGGAGCACAGCCACACCCATTCATTTACAAATTTTCTACATACCACAAAGGCAGATTTGAGAAGTTGCAACAGAAACCATATGCTCTGCAAAGTCTAAAATATTTACTATCTGGCACTTTATAGCGAAAGTTTATGTACTGATACCACAGAGCCATATCCTTCCGAGTCTTTATCAATTCCAACATTGATCAAAATAAGATTAATTACAGAAAACTTTACAAGGTTCAAGTTAGGCTCTTGTGATAGAATCTTGGTGGGTCAAATACATTTTAAGAAAGTCAAATAAAAGACCTTCAATTACAATGTCCTAAGAATAATAAAGTGATTGGGAAGGAAATTGAAAGTGTGTTTATTAAAAATGACATGCCATCCTAATATTTAGATGAGTTAGAACATTTATATCATGGTAAAAGTTTCTCAAAGGTGAAAATTCTATTTAATCAAGTACTTTACCCTCATTAAATTTTGCTGGCTCATGGAAAAAGTGATAATGTCAGCAAAGGAATAAATGATACCTCCTTCATCTCAAATGCAATAATGCTTAAATCAAACAAACATATCTTATTGTGAAACAGAGTTCTTAAAAATGAGGTCAAAACTTCAAAATGGGGGCCTCCCTGGTGGCACAGCAGTTAAGCGCTCAGTTGCAAAGCTGCCCGCAGCCTCTGCAGTGCTGGTTCAAATCCCCGGCTGCCGGGCGAGGGTCCCACATGGTGCGCAGACCTCTCCTGCCGCCCGCTGCTTCCCTCAGCAGTGTACTTCATCAGTCTGCCTGTTCTGTTTCCCGCTCTGGTGAATTCTCTCACCCTCCCGTGCTTCTGACTATACCCAGTGCTTGTATAAATAAATAAATAATCTTTAAAAAAAAAAAAAAACACTTCAAAATGAAGGTATCCACCCCAACAGAGTGCTTTAATTTTTCTCCATTTATAGCTATTTACTATGAAGCTGGTGCCACCTCTGGACACATGTACCACAATGCCATGAAACAAAAGAACTAGAACCCAAGACCACAAGCTGAATGGTCAACAGAATCCCCCATGCTTACTTGACACATGTTAATATCAGTGGAACCAGAGCAATCTCCATGGTATATTGCTGGGCTGTGGAGAAAGATACTTATATTCCACAACCCTAGAATTATGAGCAACCTTAATAAGAGTATTATTCATTTCATCCACAAATACGTTGTATCCTACTATTGGTTATTTGTGGCAACATTAGCTAAGCTACAGTCCAGAAGGATGCCTGATTTAACACTGTTAGCATTCTCTTTTTGGCTCAACAGCCATAGTTGTCTTTCTCATTCCATCTGTGAGGGCCATGGCTAGACCTTATTCTGTACCATAGCTGTGGAAAGGACATAATCTTTTTAAGCACATCTGTTTCTAAAGAAGCATGACTCAGCCATCCATGGCTCTGTAATAATGGGTAAGTAATTTCTCTACTTCTTTGAGGATTTGAGGTCCCTTTTGCCTCAAATAAATGGACATCCAAAACTGTATCCCTCCCCAAATCTCAGCCCTTTTTTATAATTTCCATTCAGTTGTCACTCTGTCAACCAAACCTTTCCAGTTACAATGCCCTGTCTGTGTGCATTTACATTTAGCAATATGGTAAAATCACCCCACTGGCAAGATCTGTTCCTGAAGAAAAGGCTTGTAGGGTAAGGTAAAAAGTATCAGGCTTTTCTGCCCTCCCACCATCAGGATAGATGATGGATCTGTGGTCCCGAATGCATGCCCTATGGTGGGCACCTAGAAGGGGTGTGGGCATATATAGATGGGATTCACCTGGGCTGAGACTGAGCTTTTAGGGGCGGCGTCGCGGGGACGCCAGCAGAAGCCGAGAAGGAGAAAAGAGGAGCAGGAGAGCAGAGAAGCAGAGAGAAGGCCAGAGAGCCCAGATAGAGTGAAGATTTGCTGGGGGCTGGGAGGCCTGCCAATCCCCAGCCCCCCCAGCACCCCTGCCTGTTGTGTACCCGGTAAATCTCAATAAAAGCCTGAAGAGCCACTGAGGCCTCCAGGACTCCTCCTTTGCCCGGCCTGCTGGATCAGAAAACCTGCCCTGTGCCCTGTCCTGCCCCTACAGGCTGAAGAAGGTTTCCTCAGAACTTTGCCTCAGCCCAGTATGAACACACAAACAAGGCTCCTGACCAGCTGCCTGCCCAGCCAAGGAAGCAGGCAGGAGGAGAGACTCTGGCAAAACCTTAGGAAGCCTCCCCTGCCCCTTTCCTAAAAACCCAATCTGATTTTTCTGGTGTTTTGGTAAGAAAAAGAACAGGCTGAGAAAAGGATGTTATCACGAATAGGAGCTGAAAGCAACATTTGCATAGTAACTCTGGAGTCCGCTTACTTAGCTGACAAACAAGGCAAATCTTAGTGATTATTTTTTCATGTGAAAGAATTTATTTCTGTCACTTTTAAAATTCTTAAATCTTAAAATTTACTCTTAATCACTAAAACTTACTCTTGTCATAAAAAAATATTGTGTAGTAATTCTCTGCTCTACCCTTTAGATCACCTAGTCCATAGGGGCAACAGGTTTCTTGCTCCAGGTTTCCATGGAGGATGGCAAGCTAAAAAAGGAAATATGGACACATTTCTTCAAATCCGGACTCCTGACACTTTTCACATATGGGTTTACCTGACATCTGGGTTTCTTCTGGGCTCAGTACCTTGGTGTATTTTGTCAGCTACTCTGCATGGAACAACACCTGGTGTGTATGGTAGAAATCAGCCCATCTCACCTAATCCCCCTGATGTACCAATTCTGATAATGGTAACGTCAGAGCACCTGGCATGGTGCAGTAATTTGATGAGTTCATGAAGCATAATCGAAATGGAGGGGATGCCCATGCCATGCTGTTGAGAGAAAAGAGAGAATCATTATACATCTCACAGACTGATACGCTCATGGGACATATTTTCTTCCTTCATTACAAGTTAACAGCCTTCAGATAAATTTACATAATCATTATGACTTTGCCAAAACTGAGAAAAACGTAAGTCAGTTTTAACTGATGTCAACATGACATGCTGATAGATGTGTCCATCTGTGAGGATCAGAGAGAAACACCTCCCTGCCAGTGAAACCGAGCTGGGCCCTCATCATCAAGAGCAGAAGGTGGGGATGGCATGGCTCACAGGTGTGTCAGGGCAGTGCTGTTTCTCCTCTCCTCACGAGGCTATTTACAGTGAACACTTGAAAAGCTTTTTGTAAAATTAACTTGATTTTAAGGAAATGTGAATTTGGCTGCAATTAGTCCTTTTCCACCATGCTAAAGGAAATAGTGAAATCCATTTCATTGGTCTCATATGAATTTAATCATTTGCTGCCAATTCTGTGTGAGTTCTGAAAGGTAGGAGGGTAGAGATCCGGGTTATAGCTAATGCCAACATTCTGTAGTGTACACTGAAGCTACAGGTGAGGTTAAATTGCTGCAGATCATAACCATAAGCCTGATTTTTCTCAGCATTTGGAATGGTAGAAGCAACATCACCAGAATAGGGCTTCAACATTGGTCAGAAGGTTTACTGACTCTCTGGAACTCTCCAAAAAGATTCTTCCTCCTGGAATTCATAGTATGTGGAGTCAAGTTTGGAATTGGTGGCTATTTCATTCCTAACATTTTATAAGAGAGTCAAATGTTTTCTTCAATGTGCTCTACTTTTAGGCACACAGACTTGTGAAAAGCACCATGGGCATCTTGACTGGTGGGTGGTGCCAGACACCGACCCTGTCCTTCTCATTAACAAATCTGGGAACCTTTGGTAGCCATGACCATGATATTTTCACCTGAGTTCTCTCCCTCTCAACACCAACAATATTAAACTATGGAAATGCTGAATTTCTGATTTCCCCACTTCTGGTTCCCTTTGAACATGTCCTGACTTCCAAATGCGTTGTTAGTCTTCTGGAACCATAAATCAGACCTGTGTTAATGTGTATGTCCAAGATTAAGTTTGTGGGCTTTGGCACTGTCTCTGCTACTAATGAGTAAACTCTAAATCTCATTTCCCTCCACTGTAAATTAAGAGGATAAAATATTATTTGATCTATTAAGTTTCTTCTAAATCAGATGTTTGATAGGTTTATGATTACCACTTATAGGACTTGCAGAGAAAATGATAAATGGGCTTTGTGTTTGTGCTGAAGTCTCTCTCTCATTCTCTCTGTCACACACACACACACATCTTAGCAGCTACTGAAGAGGAGAATTTTCAAAGGGGCCCCCATTGGAAATCCTCTGTGTGCCTGGTGAGGCCCTTTTCTAATTGGCTCAACTCTGACTCTGATATGTTTCTCAGCTTATTTTTCTGGACAGGATAGCAGGATCAGTCTACTGCTCTTTTTTGAGGGGGGACATTTTTGAAGTTTTACTGCTTGTTTATGATATTTCTACAACTTTCTAAACCTTACTTTTGTTCTTAACCATTTACTGTGAAAAAAAAAAGGACAAAGAGTTGAAGTCTAAAAGTCAAGCAGAAGTCACTAAGACAAAATTTCCCATGATCAGAGGATCCTTCTAATACAGATAATCTATAATTGTTTGTTGAACGAGTAAATGAATAGATTCTCTCATTTGAAAGCAGGTTTCAGACAATCTTGCCCCAGAGGGGTAATCAACTTAATTGCCCCCTTGACATCACATAATTTGGCCTTTCTTGATCAGCCTGTGATCATGATCCTCCATCCTTCTACCCCCAGGTATTATTGAGTGAGCAATGGATGGTAGCTGTTTGTGATGCAGAACCACTTATAACTCAGCACCTCAAAATTGCTACACCTCTGCAATACATTTTCCCCCTGCCCCTGGCATGCCTGTCTGTGCCCCTCATGAGGGCTGCACTATCCAACGTATGCTCCGAATGGCTGTTTCAGATATAGCTGTGTGCAGAGAGACCCACTTAGAAAGGCAAACAGTATACACACATATACACTCTCATAAGTGTATGCCAGCCTCAGTCCAAGAGGGGAATAGATTTTGTGTTCCCTAAAATTCTAAGTCATTCCACTTTCATTTTGTCTTAGGACATTGTGTGTCCAGAGCTGTTAAGATATTCTGAATACAGGGGAGCAATTCAAAAGAGCTCTGTGGAAGTGCATTAGCAGCTTTTCAGAGAGATTATTATAGTGTTAAAAGGCACTGCTCTGGCAATCTTGAAAATTAGACCCTGTGTTCCAAAAGCTCAACATTCCCAAAACTGGATAAGGGATAGAGGAGAGGAAATTTCCTGAGGCTTAATCAATTATAAGCTAGAGAAAGAGAAGAGGTATGCTTTGAAGGGTTTTTCCCTAACTTGAATAGCTAAGTGGTAACTAATAAGCTAAAGTAATACAGAATGCCATGCCCTGCCCCCAGGACGTTGTCCCATAATGAAAGTCACACCTGGACACAATTTACTTGTCTAACAATGCAACCTAAGAGGGGATAAAGACTCATATTCAGAAATTTCTACTTTTTCCTTGAGCCTGTGAGGACTGCCTAAAGTGCAACATTGAGTACTTACACTGATGGACAGCACTGGGCCAGTTTTGTACATAAAATATCTGTCTGTCCCAGCACAGATGTCCTTTATGTCCTCTCCACTTCCCTCCAGGCCAAGCTCCTCGTGCATAAACAGTGCAAATGCTTTCATTCTGTTGGGACTGCCACCAACGCACACAAACTATTAATAAAAATAAACAATTAGCTGCCATTGTAACTGGATAACAACCAAGGGTCAGCTTTCAACTCTGATGGTTTTATTTTGTTGTTCATTAATTTACTTAAGTTTATGTCTAGATATTATGGATTATGTTCATGAATTCACTAATTGGCATCATTAACTTATAAATAAGGCAACCAGATACAAAGTATGATGTACTTAATTAGTAAAGAAAGTGTTGATTTTGCTGGAGCTGGTTTCCAGGTGTCTTTGTTTATAGTAAGCATCAACCAGCATCTTAAATTGACATAGATATTCTATTGTTCGGCATTGGCAGGTTTTATATACTGAGAATGTAAATTCCAAGGACAAAGAATGTACATAATATAACAAAAGGAGGCAATGAACTTCTGTCATATGAACTTTACATATATTTTCTGATTCCTTTTCTCCAACCTAAGTTTTCATTGTAAAATACACTATATTAATTTGTGTTAAAGAAATCATCATCAAGTCTTTCCAACTTCACATTCAGAAGAAATTCTCAATGAACTAAACTTATCACTGCAGCATGGAAATCTAACTATGGTATTTCATAAGTTTCAATTATCTGGCTTTTAGTATGGTTTTATTCATGTTATTTTAACATGTCTGAAATCACAAAAAGTGTTGGAATTGAGGGTGTCCAATCTAATAAAATATGGAAATGAAACTGTCTGGTAGTTGCATGAGTGTATTAGGGTATCCCCTCCTCAGAGATGGGACAGGTGCCTACAGTAAGTGATTGTCAGGCTGTTCTGCCCTCCCACCATTGACATTAATGATGGATCCCTGTGGTCCTACGTGCATGCCTGATGGCGGACACCTGGAGTAGGGCGTGAGCATGCATAGGTGGGCACACCTGGGCAGAGACGGGGCTTATAAGTGCAGCATCACCGGGACCCAGCAGAGAAGCAGAGACAGGAGGGACATCACGAGAGAACAACAGAGAGCCCAGAGTAGGGAAGTAAAGTATCAGGCTTTTCTGCCCTCCCGCCACAACAACTGATGGATCTGTGGTCCTGGATGCATGCCTGATGGGGAGCACCTGGAGTAGGGTGTGGGCATGCGTAGGTGGGTACACCTGGGCTAAGAGACTGGGCTTATAAGGGCGGTGTCACGGGGACGCCAGCAGAGCAAGAGAGAATGCCATAAGGGAACAAGAAGAGAGCGAAAGGAGCAGAGAAGCAGAGGCCACAAGAGAACACTGGAGAGCCCCCCCCCACCCCCGGCACCCCTGCCTGCCGTGTACCTGGTAAATCCCAATAAAAGCCTACAAAAGCACTGAGGGCTCCGGGACTCTCCTTTCCCAGCCCGACCCTCCCACAACCCCAACCCTCCAACCCCCAGCTTGCAAAAAGCCACCGAGGGCTCCTGGACTCCTGCACCTGTCTGCCTGGATCATAGAAAACGTGCTCTGTGCCCTTCCTGCCACCGCAGGCGGGTGCCAGAGGGAGCATGGGAGCGGTCTACTAGCATTTGGATGAACAACAGTCATTGGTTGAGCAGCAGGGGTCAGCAGTGGAGAGGATGTGCAGCAACAGGAATCAGAGACATGCACAGCCCATGGACAGGCCCCAGGCACAAAGCCACTCAGGACCTGAGCTAAGCTAAGGGGAGGTGAAGTGGTGAGGCACAAGGATCTGAAGAATGGCCATGAGGGACATAAGGCAACATAGCGGTTACAGGCCTGCTCCTTGAGGTAGGTAAACTTTACTTTGTATCCTATCCTCATCACTACTTTTGAGCTTGCTTATTGTTTACTGTGTTGAAGGATTTAATGCAAATGAAGCTCATTCAAGTCCAGTAAGTAAAGGCAATTGATGGTGCTTGACTGACTTGGGCAGGAGAGCTGGGAGGTCCCTCATGGGGAAAAGGATTTTCTGTTTGAGGAAATACCTAATAGAGGTTATAGACTACGCGTCTGATGCACAAGTGATTTACCATGGCCACTGGGTGGTCTGATTATATGATACATTCTGTCTCTGTATAGTAGTAATTCCTGCGCCACACTCATCTTAATTATGGATATAATTATCCTTTTATCAAGACCCTCTGCTTCTCTTCTACCCTCATTATTGTCTTTTTTGTCCTTCTTATGAGTTTCTCTGATAGAGACTAAAGTTGCTTATGAACTACAATGGAAGTTAGCCATAAAAGCTGAATGGCAAACAGGATAAGACCATGGTCCAAGTTGAATTTTTAAATTATTATTGATGATGAAAATTTTCCCTCTGTTAGTATGGCAAGTTAAGACTTGGCTCAAGATCTAAATAAAGGAGGTCACTTTTTGTTTGGGTTTGTTTTTACAAATACAGTAGTTTGAAAATAACGTCATTGTCTGCTGCCAGTGAATGTAAATTGCAATGATTCAGATTGACCATAAAACCGAAACAGATGTTAGAATGGCTTGTGGTTTGAATTCTTCTTTGAACTATAGATATTGCTATAATCAACGGGAATTTCTGAATGTTTCTGGAGACATAAAGATGATATGTATAGACAGAGACATTTTAATTCTTGAAGATTTACTTCTAAATCAGACTTACTAAATAGCACCTTCTAGAAACAATTTTCAGTCTGGTTGCTTTAATGAGAAGTAAAATATAGCGAAAACCACCAACTAACATTGACCTTAATGAATTTAACTGTGATTCATAACCCAAACAAAATGATCATTTATCCTTGTTTTATCAAAGAAGACAGAAATACACTGGGAAGGAGAAGCATTGCAAAAATATGTCAAGGACATTGACTAATGACTGTCAGTAGGAACTCACTTTCAAATATGCCAAGCATCTTAGAAGACTTAACTTTGCTATGTTGTGTTAATCTCGTCCTGGCAGTGGATGTGTTTGGTATGTTGACAAAGGAGTATAAACACTTCTAAAATACATATTACAGAATCTTATAAGGTAATGATTTTCCATGTTACTTGCAGTTTTTAGGGAAAGATTGGAAGGTACCAGTTAGTGATTTTATGAAAACATATTTGAATGTTGCCAGGAAACCATCCCACACCCTCACATGTTGTGCTCTAAGAAAGATGGCAAGAGGAGGAAGCAATTTAGCACTTACTGCTAATGAACATCATATCTTATTTTGGCTCTTTCTCCCTTCCTTCTTTCTTCTCTCTCTCTCTCCCCCTCCCTTTGCCCTGCCCTTCTTTCCTCTCTCCTACTTCGTTCCCTCTGGGGTACAGGCCAGAGGTATGGGGGTGAGAGGGTTCACCAGAGACAGAGTGGGGAGCAGAACAGGCAGATTGACTGAAATACACTGCTGAGGGGAGTAGTGGGTGAGACAGGAGAGGTCTGCTGCACCATGTGGGTAGCTCCCTGGCCAGCCGGGGATGGAACCTGTGCTGCAGAGGCTGCCGACAGCTTCTGTGCTTAACCCGCTGCATCACCAGGGAGGCCCTTCCCCTTCTAATTTTTGGACTATTCTCAGTTACTTTGATTCAAAGAATCCAGTTAGTGCAGTGAGTAAGAAAACTAAAAATCGGACTGGAAAGAACTTGGTTAATATCCTAGCTCTGCCACTGTATCTTGTTACTTTAACCTCTTTCAACCTCTCTAAACTGAATTTCCTTGTTTATGGAGGAAATGAACATGTGCTAAACCCATCAAAGAAATTATGTGAGGATTTAGCTAGACAAGTAGGTGTGAGAGTTTTTATCTTGTTCTTATAATTACAAAGAAGTGAATAAAACTCAGCTTAAAACTGTGATTCTCTACTGGAGGAATTATGATAGGGACAGACCTTTTGGAAAATAAAAGTTTTAAAATTATATTCCCTTTGGCCATTTCTGTGAATCACCCTGAGCAAACAGTCTTAAGTGTGAAAAATATTTGGGTATAAGAAAAGCCATTTGAGTGCTGTTTATAATGGAAAATAACATAAAATTCAGTAATTATATAACTTATGGTACAACTATTGATATCCACAGTGTGTTTCAAATAAAATATAATATAGGAAATATTAATGACAAAGTTAAACTTGTAAATGCTACACACTGTTACATAATTCAAATTTTTAAATATACTCATTAGAAAGGATTAAAAGAAAAAATATGTTGAGGTTTAGATGGCATATTTTTTAGATGTGTTTTAAAAAGCATGGTTTTTTTTTGTACTTTTCAAATTTTAAATGATGACCATGAACTGTCTTATAATTAAAATGCAAATCAACACCACAATGAGATATCACCTCACCACTGTGAGAATGGCCCATATGAAAACAAATGGAAAAAACAAATGTTGGTAAGAATGTGGAGAAAAAGGAACTCGCATTCACCGTTGGTGGGAATGCAAGTTGGTAGGAAGTCAGTAGAAGAAAATGGGCTGGAGATTTCTTAAGAAAATAAAAATGGTGGGGCCTCCCCGGTGGCGCAGCAGTTGAGTGCTGGGTTGCGAAGCTGTCCGCAGCCTCTGCAGCGCCGGTTCGATCCCCGGCTGCTCCCCCGCCACTGGAGGAGGGTCCCGCATGGCGCACAGACCTCTCCTGCCGCCCGCTGCTCCCCTCAGCAGTGTACTTCGGTCCTTCTGCCTGCTCTGCTCCCCGCTCTAGCTCTGGTGAATTCTCTCACCCTCCCGTGCTTCTGACTGTACCCAGTGCTTGTATAAATAAATAAATAAATCTTTAAAAAAAAAAAAAAGAAAAATGGCAATTCCATGTTATCCAACAATACCTCTTGTAGGTATTTATCAACAAAATATGAAAACTCAACAAAAAGACATATGCTTCTATGTTTATAGCACTGTCCACAGTTGCCATGTCATAGAACAAACCTAAGTGTCCATCAAATTAACGGATAAAGAAATTGCAGAATAGGGGTCTTCCTGTTTACCTAGGAGTTGAGTCTCAGCACTATCACCACTGTGGCCTGGGTTCGATCTCCGGCCAGGGAATTAACCCACATATGGCACAGCAGACCTCTCCTAGCTCGCTGCTGCTCCCCTCAGCAGTGTATTTGAGTAGATCTGCCTGTTCTGTTTCCCACTCTCTCTGGTGAATCCTTTCTCTACCCCTCCCCACCACACACACCTCTGGCCTACACACCAGCTCTTTAACACAAAAATAAATAAAAATCTTACCAAAAAAAAAAAAAAAAGAAATTCCAGAATATATACTCAATGGAATACTAAACAGCTATTTAAAAAGACGAAATAATGCCTTTTATGACAAAATGGATGGACTTTGGGGTAATTATGTTAAGTGAAATAAGTTTGAAACCATCTAATATCTGTCACTTTCTCTTATCTATGGAATACTGATGATCAAATAACAAATACTGGCAAAATAAAGCAAAAACAAATCTTGAACTTAGTAAAAAAACTTACTGATTATGAGAGGGAGCATGGGGGAGGGAGGAGGGAATGGAGAAGGAAAGAGGATGAGGCTTTGGCACAGGGCCTTGGTGGAGGGTAAGTGGAACACGTGTGCATATGGAGGAGTAAAATAACTGTAACCCCAAAATTATAGTTTAAAATGACAAATAATGCAGAAGTATAATTATCCTAGCAGTGTTTCATAAAATATTTTCTCATGAAATATTTCCTATGAAATAACAAAAATCTTAATATGAAATGTTAGCTAATGGTTATTTTCAGGAAATGGGACCATATAGTATTATTCATTTTGTGAGTTATTTTTGATTAATAAAAGAATTGGTGAGATTCAGCTATAAATATACATGTTAAACAATAAACTGAATCATGAACTCTGAACACCTAGCGATATTGTCAGTAAAATTTTATTTATATCCAAGGATCAGAGAAGGCAAATAATCGTGTTTATATTTGATTCAGTTTGGGATCCTCTATGGATGGAACAGAAGTGATTGTTTGGGATGTACAAATTGTCTCTGAGTATGAGTGTGGCTGCAGTTCCTGGGGGGACTGCTGATGTTTCTCTTGCTTAAGATGTAAAGTTTATGTTGGGAAAATGAGAAGAAATATAAGCAGAGGAAACATAATCATTTTTCCTGAAGTTAGAAATAATTTTACCTTTACATCCCCAAACATTGCTGGTAGATTATGAGTTTTTGTTCCTAAATCCAAATGATAGAGAATATCTTCATCCATAGAATCCAGGTAAGGATTTTTAACATAAACAAACCTTTTTCTGGAAAAAAAATATGAAATAAGATGGGGAGGAATTTGGAAAGAAAGCACACAACCAAGAGAGAGTATCAGTTAACACTTATGATTACTGCCATCACAAATATTGGATCCAGATTTTCATTTAAGATTAAATAATTTGTCAATAAACAATGTGGTATAATAATGTCTCATATTTGCTGGAAATTGTACATAAACATGAAAACTGCATGATAAAATACATTATATCATTTAATCCCACAACCCTCATTCTACTAGGTAAGCAATATTAATAATCTAATTTATTAATGAAGCCAATGCTTAAATGAGTTGAGAAGCTGTGCAAGATTATACAAGAAGTAGATTTCACAACAGTCATTTCTGTCTAGTTCTGTCTGGCTCAAATGTTCATTTTCTTCTTTGCATGAGATGCTGTGTGATGTAATATAGTAGTCTTGAGTCAAATTGTCCAGGTTTCATTACCAGTTCAACCATATATATTGTATAAATGTGGGTAAATAAATTTATTTTTTGTTCTTTAGTTTCCTCATCTGTAAAAGGGTATAATGAAAATAATTAACTGCTTTGCAAGATTTCCTTGCAGCCTGAATAAGATAATGTTTGTAGACATCTCAGGTGCAGTGAACATAGAATGACTGTCATTATACCCCCCAATATTGAGAACCTGAAAGGTACTAGTTTTGGTGAGACTGGCAAGGAAAATAAGGGGTGGGAAAGAATGCCATGTGTTCATCAAAGCCCAATTTTTCCTCCTTCTGAGCACATTGCTAATGTTATTCTTAGCTTCCCTTGTAGCAAGATAAGGTCATGTGACTGAGTTCTGGCTAATGGAACATAAACATAAGTGACATATTTATTTCCAGTATCTCACTTAAATCTGATTCTCATATTCTCTCTCTCCCTCTCCCTCCCCCCCCCCCGCCCCACTCTGTCTTCTGCCAAATGCAGGAGATGGCAAAGTTAATGGAAGTCACTGGTAGAAGGTTTTGGATATCTGAATGACTGTGTGGAGGATAAATATCCCTCCTACTCATCTTTAGCCAATCAACTTGTTTGGGATTGAATAAGAAATCAATGATATTAAACTGCCAGTGCTGTTTTGTTAATAATTATAAATTAATTATTAGAGATAAAAGCGATCTATCCCACACCACAGTGGGTTGAGCCATCTTTGCCAAAAACTATCAGGGACTTCTTTGTTCTACATTCTTCTCATTTTGCTCCAAATACTTCAAACATCTTAACAAAAATCCTGCATCTTCATGTATCTCCAGTGATCCTCAACCTGACCTTGTATCAAAATCACCAGGGAGTTTTTCAAAGAACACTCATGCTCAGGTCTTAGTTAATATAAACTCTGAAAGTATTTTTTAAGTCTTCCCAGATGACCTGCTGTGTAGGCAAAGTAGAGAACTCTGTTTTAGGCCTATTTCTTCCCCTTCATTTTTCATGTATCATCAGCCTGTCATTCCTCAAGCTCAAATTAAAATATTTTCTCCATCAAGGCTTTTCCAAGCATCTTCCCTACCTAGTCAGTATAAATCCCCCACCACCACCCAACTGCAATCCTAAAGCACTTACTTCACACTAACACTGAGAGATAGCATTTCACATGTTCATTTTCTCTCTTTCCAGAAAGATTGAGAATATCCTTATGCAAGCTGTCTCTATATCTTTTTTTTAATCCCTACGTCTTAACAAATTGTTTGTTGAATTAAATTTAACTGTTCAGGAGATAAAACTATATACTATTAATTTCCTTCTCAAAAACATTGAGGGTAACAGATTCATAATTAGTGGATCGTAGTTTGTTTCAAAAATAAAACATTCCACGATGTTAGTATACTTTAGTGTTTCAGAGAAAGCGTCAAAGCAAAAGACATCTGTTTTCTTCTCTCGGTGAGAGGCAGGAGAAGTGCAGTTAATGAACAAGCAGCAGTGCCTGGGCAACTGGAAGGAAATGCAGATCCTCAGGCCCCCATTCTAGACCTACTGAATCAAAATCTGTATTTTAACCAACTCTTTGTGATTCCCATGCACACGAAAGTTTAAGAAACACTGTCATCCACTTCCTCTTCCAACTTCCATAACACTTTCTGCTTGACTCTGCCAAACTGCTTTTACTATTTGGAGATTTTCCTTTGGATTCCTTACTGAATCTATGAATAATTACACTACAAAAGAATCTCATTCATTTACTCCAGTGACTGTAAAGCCTAACTACATATTAGAATAATTTGGGGTGCTTTAAAAAGTACTGATACCTGCTCCCACTCCTAGAAATTCTGGTTCTATTGGTCAAGGAGATCTGGCCCTTGGTATTTTTACAATCACTGATCTCCTCCACTTTTTCTATCTTCAAGAAGAAATTCTTACACCAGCAAACCATTATTTATATTCTTTTATTAATTTTAATACACTTATGAATTAATTAGGCAATATGTATTAGTTTTTCTTGCTGTCTTTCCCAATGTCTAATGATCCCATGGTGGAAAATTTAGGGGTGTGTCCATGGAAGATTTTTTTTAAATCCCCTTGGGCTCATCGAGAAGTGCTTTTAAGAGGAGCACTCTATCAATGACCAAAGGAAAGACTAGCTTGGGCTATTACCCAAATTCAACCCCGTATGAATCTGACTCTTTGCAGAATACGTAATTTTAATTTAATAGATATGCATGTACCAGTTCCTCCTCAACCATTTTCTACCTATTTTTCTAAAACATGGACCAAAGGGTTGGGAATAAAGCCTTTTAGCAAATCAGGACAAATTATCCAGCATGGTCAGCATTGAATATTGATAACCAAAGAGAAGTGCTGGTTGAGAAGTCTTATTTTACTCTTACCTTCATCTTCACAATTTTTCCTTTTCTCTACCTCCTTGGCTTCCCTGAAGAAATTAACATGGCAGGAGGCTGCTTCTGCTTGGGAAGGGTGAGTGGAGAATTTTCTAAAACACTGATGTGATGGAAGCTCTAAGCAAGACATTTCATACGACTCTCAGCAAACCAGAAGGAACTCGCAAAAATTCCTTAAGCCTCATGAAGATTAATGCTCCGTTATATTTTGTGAACCTGGGGCAAGAATTGGAGCTAAATTTGCAGACAGCTCTGGCAGATTTATATCTACCCCTGAGATGAATAACTTACGTCTTATTTTAGAAGTGAATTCTACATAAAGTCCATCACAAAGCACATGGAATCACTTCATAATATGCTGCAACACAGTTAAATCTCCCTTAGGCCTTGGGAGTCCCTTTAATTATCTCAGATACAGCTTATAGTCTTGGAAATAAAGGTTGAAATCCAGGCTGAACTTGCAATTTGTTCACTCATGCAGCTTTGTTAAACGTTTGCAGGTTTTTTGTGACTTCATTTACCCTCATTTCTTTTTAATTGATATATAATTGACATATTGCCCTCTTTCTTAGATCAACCAAATTTCCCCAAGAACCAAGGAACAAAAAAAGTTACTGGGAAGGAAATTTGCTCGTTTTTTATTTTGTTGTATTATGAGATGTAATCCAACTATATTACCTCTAAACTTAAGAAATTTATATAACTGCAGAGGTCCATCAACTGAACATTGAATATAAAATCCAAAGAACATCTATCTGATCAAAACAAATACAAAATCAAAATTACTCACCCAACATATGTATTCCTGTCAGATCTCATGGGGTTATTGGAAGCAGGTAAAATTGAAGCCATACTTTGTACTATGTTGATAGTCACTCTTAAATTTACATCAGGAAAAAAATACTATGATTTGCTATTAAATTATAGCTCTGGAGCTCTTATCATAGTAGTTCAACTCCAAGTTAGAATGATACCCTTCCTTAAAACTTGTATTTTCTTCTGAAATTTCTGATGGAACTTTTAGCATTCTAAACTACCTTCTTAGTCCAAAAATATCCCTGACATGGCCTTTTATACTACAGCCCAATTCTCAGAGCAACATTTCTCCAAGAATTTAGGCTCCCTTTGAAGGCGTGGCATCCTGTCTTTTTAACTGGGTTGGTAATTTGTTAACTGTTGACCAGTTCACCTTTCTTTTACATCTGGTCCTGGTCTCCACATGGGTCTGGTGTAACATACAGACTTATTTACTTTGAGGCAATTGAAAATGGATGCAAGACCTCTGCTGGTTTCCATAACAGCTCCTCCAGGTTACCTCAAAAATGAGTCCAGGGCCTCCCCGGTGGCGCAGTAGTTTAGCGCTGGGTTGCGAAGCTGCCCGCGGCCTCTGCAGCGCTGGTTCGATCCCCAGCTGCTCCCCAGCCACAGGAGGAGGGTCCCGCATGGTGCGCAGACCTCTCCTGCCACCCGCTGCTCCCCTCAGCAGTGCACTTCGGTCCTTCTGCCTGCTCTGCTCCCAGCTCTGGCTCTGGTGAATTCTCTCACCCTCCCGCGCTTCTGACTATACCTAGTGCTTATATAAATAAATAAAGAAATCTTTAAAAAAAAAATGAGTCCAGTACACATGAGAACTTTCAGTTCCCAAACATGTCATTTTCCCACTTCATCCTACCCCTCACCAACTTGTTCTCTTTCTTTGATAACAAGTGAGGAAGACATCCAAAGTCAGGACTTCAGAACACTGCTTCATCTGAACTTTGCCCATTCAAATTCACACAGAAGGTCTATATAATTAAACAGAACTTGTTTCCCAAAGCCTCTTCATTTAACTTACCCCTAGGTTGTCAGTAAAAGTCAATAAACCAGCTGTGGGAAGTCAGCCCAGGTAGGAGAACAAAATAAAATCTAGTATTTTCAGAAAACAGCATGTCTGTAAAATTCATGAACTAGAAAATTTTAGAGGAATTAAAATCTGTTCCTATTTTGGCCTCAGCCTCCATGCAAAGCCTCCTTCCAAACTTCCTTTGGAAGTTCTCTGATAGGAAGGACTTCAAGAATGTAAATCTCATGGTTTACAAGTCAATCAGAGTCTAAAATGTTTATAAATGGCCAAACAGCAGCTGATACAAGGCACTTCATAATGTGCATGAACTTGTAAGAACGTATGTGAAAGTGAAGCAACAAATTCCTGTGTCTTTACTGGGGTCTCCATGTTAGAAGACACTCCTCTTCCTGATGATAGCCCCGCTGGACAAACTCTAAAATTCCATGCTGGATTCCTTTTGTCCATCTTGACCAGCCAGCAAAGTTTACAGAATGGGAAGGAAATGGAATTTGCAACTTTGCCCAAGTTATCCAAAAATCCCTAAGAAAAATGTACTTGGTAAAGCTAATGACAATTTTTATTTTAAGCCTGCAAAGCATTTAAGCCTGGATGTGTGTGCTGCCATTGCAAAATAGGATCATAGTTTCTGTTTTACTTTATAATAATACTTATGTCTCTTACCACACAACCCACTAAAAGTTGGTCTTCCTGCTGCTCTTGTCCAACAACCACTGGTAATTCTGTGATTCAGCACTCCCACTTATCACTGCTGGGCCTTCGTGCTTTTACTCTGTATTCCACGCTATTTTTCTCAATCTATTTTTAGGGTACAATGAGGAGGACCATTGAAATCCAAGCTGGCATTTACCTCTGGCTCAGACAGGTGAAAGTGTTTGCTAATTAGATGTGTTAGATAATTAATTACTTCAGCAAATTAATTAGACTAATTACTAAGTGACCAGGGCAAATTCTATCAGTCAACAATCTTGATCACTAACAGTGCCAGGTAATGTGAATGAAGTTTTATGGACCCCAAATTATGACTCCCCAGGACATTCTGGCAAATGGTCATCACTTGAGTGAAGTGTGGGATTGTCTTACAGAATCTGAAAAGAGTACTAATTAATGTCTTCTGGGTAGTATTAAATCATTTTCCCTAATTTTCAGTCTTTAAAAGATTCAACACTACCCTTAAGGTAGATTATTCCTAGAGGATTTTTTTTTTTCATTGTCTGTTTTACAGTGGGCCAGTCCCCTAAATGAAAATGAGAAAAGGAGTGTTTTTTAGAAAGTGTGCAGGCAGGAGTGTGCAAGGTGAACTCAGGCACAGCCACTGGATATTTCACAGAGACAGATGGGGTGTCAGGCAGAGCCCTGGGATTCAGCACAGGCCTGGTCAGCAGGAACTGCATCAGCTCTGCCAAATCCATGTTTCAGTGTCTGACCTACACTTCACTCCCTCCACAGGGCCAGCATGTTCATGGTCTCACTCCCAATTTTCTCCATCTGGGCCATTTTGCCTGAACCTCTAGCATTGAAGAAAAGAATTCAGAGTCCTGACATGCACCCGGGTAGTGTTTGGGTCTCCCCATTTACACACTTTCTGCCAAATCTGGGAGGTTTACTTGTATAGACACAGAACCCTACCCACCCCCGGAAACAATGGTCCTGTCACTCTGAGGAGGGGCACAGCCAGGAGCTGGGGGCTCTCAGAACCATGCTGTAAGCTGAAAGATTATGGCAGGTTCTATGAAAACTCAGAGAGGCCTGTACTCCTGGCCCACAGAACAGTGTGTAAAATGCACAGAGGAAACGCAGCAAGTGGCATGTACGAACTAGCACTTTGACAGTTTCACTTCCACATATTTGCACCAGAACATCTCAATAGAGCCTTGGTGGCTGTCAGAGTTTCTGCAATGTTAAAAAATAAAGGCCACAATCAGGGTTGTATTAGTTACACTTTAAAAGTTTGTGTTTAATGAATTGACAGCTTAATTCTTTTAAGCAATATAGTTTACTTGTTCTGTTCAGAAGACATTGAACTTATAAAAATATTTCTTAATTTAGTACACTCTGTATGTTTAATGGGGCACAAATTGAAAGGCACCTTATATGTTTCTCCTTTCAGTGCAATCAGTGAGTTTGTGTGCACATGTCTATAAGATCTAATTTTAGACCAAATGGTCCCCCTGGACCCACCAGGTCAGGCCTACCACCTGCCTACCTCTTTGGTGCACTTTTACTTCTTCTCTTTTGCTCTGGGCCCAGAGTCTCTGGTCTTCTTAGGACACCTCTCCAGGAAGCATCCACCAAAGGTCATATCAGTTCACCTCAGTTTGCAACAAGCACCCCAGCCCGGGAAACAATCACACACACACATACACCCCAACCCCCCCGCCCACACACACACACATACCCATAACCAACCTCACAGAATGTGGGAGACAGTAATGGCAGAGCATAGCAAAGTTCCTACATTCACTCCTCCGCTGCGCCCCCCCCCCCCCGCTGCCTCTGTCCAGCCCTCTCACGGTGGGGCGAAGTAACAGAGTCCCTATCTCCTGCCACACACAGTCCCTCTGCTCCACCATTTGGCTCATAGCACCATTGATAACTAGAAAGAGTTCCAAAACGTCTTAAGTTATTGATTCTGATGGTAGGGTTTATTTTTTTCATTATTCATTCAACAAATATTTACTGAGCATACACTATACTTAATCTTAGAAGTGCTTAAGATACAAGCAAGAATGACTAAGTCAGTTCTTGCTTCTCTGATTTCTTTTACAAAAATAGTGACATTCCATGAACACAGAAGACAAATTACATTTCTTAAGCTAAACTTCTATGCATTGAAACACATGATTTAAGTTTATCATCATCATCCTCTTTTTCATATCTAATAATGAAGACTTAGTGAATCTTTAAATCTTAAGTGTTTATTTTTCTATCACAGACTGTTGCTGCCTCAAATCCTTTTTAGAAGAAGGCAGGTATTTAAAAGTGATGTTGTACTAATGATAAAGGACTGATCACAAAAATCTGCAAAGAGCTGATGAGACTCAGCAACAACAAAGAAAATAACCCAGTCAAAAAATGAGCAGAAGAGCTAAAAAGAAACTTCTCTGAAGAGGAAATGCAAATGGCCAACAGGCATATGAAAAAATGTTCAACATCACTTGTAATCAGGGAAATGCAAATCAAAACTACCATGAAATACCATCTTACACCAGTGAGAATGGCACATATTAAAAAAACTAGCAACAACAAATGTTGGCGAGGGTGTGGAGAAAAAGGAACTCTTCTGCACTGTTGGTGGGAGTGCAAACTGGTCCAACCACTGTGGAAAGCTGTATGGAGATTTCTGGACCTACTAAACATAGAGCTTCCATATGATCCAGCAATTCCACTCCTAGGTATTTACCCAAAGGACACAGAAACATCAATTCCAAAGAACACCTGCACCCCTATGTTTATAGCAGCACTGTTTACAATAGCTAAGCTTTGGAAACAGCCCAAATGCCCAAAAATAGATGACTGGATCAAGAAGATGTGGTACATATACACCATGGAATATTACTCAGCATTCAAAAAAAGATAAACACATGCAATTTGCAGCAACATGGATGGCGCTGGAAGGGATCATGCTCAGCGAAATAAGCCAAAAAGAAAAAGAAAAATACCAGATGGTCTCACTCATGGCAGGAATCTAGAAAACTTAAATAAGGGACCAGGAAAATGAATAACTATAAGAAAGTGAAAATCAAAATCAACAAAAAACTATGAACCAGAGACACTTTTTGGGGGGTGGGGGCCGGGAGGGGAGGGATTGGGGTCAGAATGGGGCATTTGCAATTGTATGGGGGAATATAAAAATAAAATTTATTATTAAAAAAAAAATAAAAGTGATGTTGTATCCTTTATGGTGTAGATGTGTTGCAGTTTAACATCTTTACTCATAGTTACCAAAAAATGTACCTTGTTTTCTATTAGCCCTCTAGGCTTTCTTGCTTTGCCTGCCCTCCAGGGAGCTGGGGCAGAGGGTGACCACTTGAGAACTTGCAAATCAACAAGTTTAATAGTGCCTTCAGTTTGATAGTCTTGCTTGGATGATTTGTTGTCTTTCCCATACGTGCTCAGTCTCTGTCCGCTGCTCCTATGTGAGATGACGCCTACTGATCAGTGGCTGGGGAGGGGCTTGATTTCGGCAGTGAGGATGTGAAGGGCTCCCGGAT